TCAAACATCTTTCTGATCCATTGATTATCCTACAGGGCCACACTTCTTGTTGTTAAATGCCATTGAATCAGTTCTGACTCATAGCAACTCTGTATATGGTTTCCAAGGAGTGGCTAGTGGATTTGAACTACCAACTTTGAGGTTGAAACATCTCGTGGTCGAGTGCTTATTCTATAGTGCCACACCAGGACTCCACAGGGCCATACTAGGAAAGTAATTTTCTCTGTGGAGACAGAGCACTGCAGAATTGTTAGAACATCTTGTAGAATTATGACAATACCAATGGAATAAGGATAGCACTGAAAAATATCAATACCATATGCTAGTAAAATTTTGCTGAAGATATCTCAAAACTGACTTCAACAGTACATTGACAGTGAACTGCCAGAAACTCAAGATGGATTCAAAAGACATGAAACAAGAGATATCATTGCTGACATCAGGTGGATCTTGGCTGAAAGCAGACAATACCAGAAACAGAAATATCTTGTACTTTATTGACTTATACAAAGACTTTTCACTGTGTGGATCATGAGAAGCTAATGATAATATTGGAAGAATATAAGTATTCCAGAACACTTAGTTGTGCTCATGGGGAACCTGCATGTAGACCAAGATCAGTTGCTCATGAGGAACCTATATGTAGAAACAAGATCAGTTGTTCAAACAGAACAAGAGGACACTGAAGGTTTAAAATCAGGAAAGCTGTGTGCCAGTACTGTATTCTTTCACCTTGCTTATTCATTCTGTATGCTGAGCAAATCATCTGAAAAGCTGGATTATATGAAGATGAGTATGACATTAGGATTGGAGGAAGATTCATTAACAACCTGTGATATATATTCAGATAATACAACCTTGTTTGCTAGAATCCAAGAGCAGTTAACATTCTTACTGATGAAGATCAAAGACTACAGCCTTCTACATGGATTGCAGATCATTGGCAAGAAAACAGAATTTCTCACAACTGGACTAATCAATGAAGGGTGAAGGTGGTGTGCCTTAGGGTTGGTTCCAACTCATAGTGACCCTGCACAGGGTTTCTAAGGCTGTAAATCTTAACAGGAGCAGAAAGCCTTGTCTTTCTCCCGCAGAACACATGGTAGTTTCAAACCGCTGACATTGAGGTTAGCAGCCGATTTCATAACCACTATGCTACCAAAGCTCCTTGGACCAATAAATAATATGATAAATGGAGACATGATTGAAGTTGTCAAAGACTTGGTTTTTTTTGGATTACAGCCACCTCTCATGGAAGCAGCTGTCAAGAAATTGCAGTAGGCAAATCTGATGCACAAGATCACTTAGTTTTCGAGAGCAAAGATATTTTGAGGGCTGAGATGCACCTGACCCAAACCATGGTATTGTCAATCACCTCACATACATGTGAAAGTAAAACAGTGAATAAGGAAGACCGTAGAATTGATGCATTTGAGTTATGGTATTGGAGGAGAATATTGAAAATACCATGGACTACCAGAACATACAAATTTGTGTTGGAAGCAGTGCAACCAGAATGTTTCTTAGAAGCCAGGATGTCCAGACTTTGTGTCTCATACTTCAGACATGCTATAAGAAAGAAACAGTCCCTGGAGAAGGATATTATGCCTGATAAAATGGAGGGTCAGCAAAAAAGAGGAAGATCCCCAATGAAATGGATTGATGTGGCAGCAGCAGCAATGGACTCTAGCATAGCAACAACTGTGAAGATGTGCAATACCCAGTAGTGTTTCATTCTGTTGTACAAAAGAGTCACTATGAATTGGAACTGACTCAAAGGCACCTGAAAACAACACTTAAGAGAAGCTCATCTGCAAACTGTTTGTTACTGGTCTGAAAAGTGTTAAGAAACTTTTGCCAGAATGTAAAATTAATGTGTTGCTGTTCTCATTGACAAAGTCTTGTTTTGTTTTTTAAAAATCAGATGAAATAAATAATGTACCATTGATTATGATATTATTTATTCATTTTATCTCATTGCAGCTTTGTAACTACATTTTGAATAGCACAATTTCAGAATGTTAGTAAATAGCCTCTAGTTGTGTTAAGATCATTATAATTCATTTCAGAAGGGAGCTGATGGGCCAGGTCAAGTATTTTCAAATATTTAGAGGAAAGGAGAACTTTGATATAATGTTACATATTCTAGTAATCATAAAGCAAGTGAAATTTCTTGACAGCTAATTGGTTTCCATATATGTTTGATACAGTCAGTAATCCAAAATAATAGTAATGAAACAAATGGAAGTTGAAAGGATAGTATTACTTTGTTCTTTTTTATTTTAGTTTAGTTTTTATTGTGAATTATGTGGGTTTACATGGGAGAACATCCATCCTACATTCATTTATTTTATTTCTTATCTGGGCTATAAAACAAAGGATAAGTATATGCCAGTAGCTACTACTGCTTTTCCTGGTCATGTGCTGGTACCATTTTCTTGTCTTAAGATGCTCTACAACTAGATGAAGAATATATAGAGTTGGAAATGGATAACAATAAGGATAGGATATAGACATTATACTTTTAAGACTTTAATAGCATCTCCAAATCATGAAGCTTAAACTCTCTTTAAGAGGCTTAAACTCTCTTTAAGAGGCCCTATGTTACTGTTGTTGTTAGGGTCTGTCTAGTAGGTACTAACTCATAGGGACCCTATGCATGACAGAACAAAACACTGGCCCGATCCTGTGCCAACTTCACAGTTGTTGCTACGTTTGAGCCCATTGATACTACTACTGTGCCAGTTAGTCTCATTGGGGGTCTTCCTCTTTTTCTCTGACCCTCTACTTTACCAAGCATGATATCCTTCTCCAGGGACTGGTACTTCTTGATAACACATCCGAAGTATGAGAGATGAAGTATGGGAATACTAGCTTCCAAGGAGTATTCTGGCTGTACTTCTTCCAGTACAGCTTGGTTTGTTCTTTTGGCAGTCCATGGTACTTTCA